TCATTTAAAAACAGTTACATGGTCTTTAGCTTCTGATGTGTATTCTGTATCTGAACTTTAAGATTCAAGATCGTTTTATTGTCGTTGCACAGGTGCACAATGACACAGACTGCACTCACACACACACACACACACACACACACACACACACACACACACACACACACACACACTCACACACACACACACACACACACACACACACACACACACACACACACAGCAGTTTTAATGGCAAAAATGTAAAAGTATAATATAAACATGGTAATAAGACAGGTCTAAATTACAAATATAAATTAAACATGATGTAAATGTAAACAGTCATATGAGGTATCAGGGTTAACCAGCTTCATGTAAACGTGCACTAGCTGTCCAGCAAACTCACTGGAGTGACCTCCTAACAGCAACAATCAGTGATGCTCTTGTATGAAAGTTGTTTACCAGCCTGGTGGTGTGTCTTTATTGCTCCGTATCGTTTACCAGACAGAAGAAGACATGGTTAGCAGGGTGGGTTGAGTCCTTTAAGATATCTGTGGTTTTTCGAAGGCAGCAAGTGGTGAAGATGCCATCCAGGGCAGGAAGGTGTGTGTGTGTTATTTTCTCTGCAGGGCCTTCCTGTCAGCTGCATAGCTGCTGCTGTACCACATCAGCATGCTAGTGGTCAGGACGCTCTCTATGAAGCAGTGATAGAACCACATCAGCTGTATATGTGGCAGCTTGATCTTCCTGGGCGTCGTTTAGCCTGAGGAAACTAGGACACCACCTGCTCTCCATTTATGGTGCTCCACCTTTTCCTTCCTGGGTCAGTGGTGATTTCTTTGGTTTTGTTGGTGTTCAGGGCCAGGTTGTTAGCTCTACACCAGTCCACCAGCTGGTGCACTTCTTCCCTGTACATGTACTCATTTACCTGGCTGATTAGGCCCGCCATGGTTGTATCATCAGCAAACTTAATGATAGCGTTGGTGTGAGTGGGCTTACAGTCGTGTGTGTACAGGGAGTACAGGAAGGGACTAAGCACGCAGCCTTGTGGGATTCCGGTGCTGAGACAGAGAGGAGGAATGGTGGCGGTCCAACTTAGACTCTAGTCAGTTTGTTAGAAAGTCATGTGTTCAGAAGCAGATGTTGTGCTTGAGGTCAAGGTTAAGCCGGGCGTACACTGTGCGACTTTTTCCCTCGTAGCACTCAGCTTCAGCTCAAACTGTACGACTTCCTCGCAGGGCAGATCTCACGAGCCATGCGCTCACACTGCACGACCCAGTTCTCGGATGCGACCTGACTGCTCACACTGTACGTCTGGTAGCAACACGTCGGACCTAAAAATATGCTAAAAATAGCAGTTTTTACTCAACACGTCAGACTTTTTTGTCTTGTTTTGCCTGTTGTCCTTCAGGAGTGCTGCAGGAGGACACACAGGGATTTATGGGGGTTGGATGAGGAAAACGAAATAAAGAAAGTAAATCTGTGTTTTGTGATCAGTTTAATTTGACACGAACACGACAAACACGCTTTCTTGACAATCTTTGTGAGTAAAAAAACGTGTAGAAATAAAAACGAACAACGTGTGTTATTAGAGAAATAGCGGGCGAGCGGTGTTGATACAGGATTGCGCATGCGCCGTGAGCGGTTCTGATACTTTTTGGGTCGCAGCTGCTCGCAGCGCCGCTTCAACAGTGCGATATCCTCACGAGGGACGAGCAAAATATTAAACACACCAGAAGTCCGTGCGAGCTCACGATTGCCGATCGGTAGCTGGTCACGTGGTGTTAATCGCCTCTCGTAACCCCCTGTACACTACACGACGCTCGGCGCAAAACTCGCCCCGATCTCGTACGACTGGAAAATCGGCTCAAAAAAGTGAAAAACTCGCACAGTGTACGCCCGGCTTAAGACATCTGCTGGGGAGGATGTTGTTGAATGCAGAGCTGTAGTCCACCAGTAGCAGTCTTGCATGCGTACTGTACCTGGTTGTTCCAGGTGAATCACAATGGTGTGGAGGGTGGTAGAGATGGCTTAATCTGCATATTGATGGGGGTCCTATGTGGGAGGGGGCAGCAGTGTAGTCTCCCATGCTCTTCACGATGAGCGGTGTTAGAGCTACAGGCTTGTTATGGCAGGCTTTTTGGGTATTGGTGCTATTGTGGAGGTTTTTAGAAAGGTGGGGACAGAACACTGGGACAGCGACATGTTGAAGATGTCTGTGAAGACCTCAGCCAGCTCCACTGCAGTCATGCAGCACTCTTCCCAGAATGCCATCTGGACCAGCTGCCATGGCCGCTGACACCACCTAGAGGCCACTTCTGGCCCCTCAAGCCACATCTTACCCATCACCCAGGGACATCTTTATTGTCTATTTATTCAATGTTCGTATGTCCAACATCATGCTGCTCTGCTGATATATTTTTTTTATTGCCCCTCGGGGATAAATAAAGTTTTTCTGATTCTGATTCTGATAATCTCTATTTCTGTGAATAGATGCTGTTCTGGAAGCTAAGGTAAGACAGATATATTTACACACAAAAGCTCTTCAGAAAGTGTGACATGTCCCTTTGACCTTTAGCGTGTCCTTGTTTGAACGATGAATCATAATCAGGAAGCTTAGAGCTGCTGATGGGTCAGGCACAAAGGTGAAGGAAACACGAGTTACAGAAACAAAGCGGTAGAGATGAAGATGAAGATGAAGAGATTTACACGTACAAATTAATGGTGAAAGCAGCAGCAGCAATAACACATCTACAGTTCAGGAGAGTCTTTGTTTTGTCCTGATTGCTGTGGAGAAGAAACCGCCGGTTCTGGCTTTTGATGCTTTAACGCCAAGCAGAGGGCAGGAGTTCAGAGAGGTAGTGGCTGGATGGGAGGAGTCATGGAGGTTCTGGGCCCTGCTGATGTTGCGTGAGGTGGAGAGATCTTCTAGGCAGAGCAGAGGACAGCCACTGGTCTTTACTGCTGATGGGATGACTCTGCAGGACCTTTTCATCTGCAGCAGAGCAGCCAGAGACCCACACAGAAATGTCGTATTGGAGGATGTTCTTTGTGGTTGTCTGGTAGAACCCCGCCAGCAGCTTCCTCTCCAGGTGCTTCCTCCTGATCCTCTGCTGGGTGGTGTTTGATAAGCAGGTGAGGTCCTGCATAAATGGAATTCCAGGAATGTAAATGACTAAACCTGCTCCCCCTCTGTGGTGTTGGGAACATCAGACTCTTGTTTGTTTGTTTTCTATGTTAAACCTCCAGAAGCAGGAGACCAGGAGATCCTCTCCAGACCTCCAGGGTTGACCCTGGCCACCATGTGGAGGAAGATGCTTTTAGCAGCTTGGATCCAGGTTCTGCTGGTTAGAGTTCCACTGTTGGAGAGGATTTTCTGTTTGGGTTGTTCCTTGCTGGCTTTATTGAACGAGCAGCAGCAATGAGAAGCTTCAGGTCCGCATCTCCCTGTGATGACCTCTGACCCAGAAAATCTTCTGTTTGGAATAGAACCTGAAGAGGTTTGGGCTTCGGGGGGGAACTGGAGAAGTTCTGGTGGGTTTAGTGAGGTTTGACACTCAGAGCTGACAGGAAACACTTTAGTGAAACTTAACCTCCGTCACCTTTGCAGGCTGCTCCTTTCACCTCAAGGCCTCATCTCTCTCTCTCTCTCTCTCTCTCTCTCTCTCTCTCTCTCTCTCTCTCTCTCTCTCTCTCTCTCTCTCTCTCTCTCTCTCTCTCTCTCTCTCTCTCTCTCTCTCTCTCTCTCTCTCTCTGTCTTTATCCAGATGGAAGCGTTTCCACGCAGCTGTCGGCAGTCTCGACCTGCTCCAGTCCTGCGTCTCTTAGCTCAGCCGGCTGTTTTTCTAACAGCTCACAAAGGATGAAATATCAGCTGCAGCCGGCCTGAGTGGCTCCAGAGCTGCTTGATATAAAGAAGTGATTCTACATCAGTTTAGTTTTAGAGGCCGACTGCCAAGTTTACATCTGCAACCATCCGGGCTGCTCCAGCGCTAATGAAGGAAAAGGTGATGCTAAAGGGATCACAGACGAAGGTTGTTTCTGACTTCACCATTGGTTCATACATTTCATATTTATCTATTGCTTAATTTCCTTTTAAAAAATGTTTTCTTAGACAGTTTTAAATTTCTGATGCTGTCGACGTGTTTTTGGTTTTCAACAGTTTTAATTAGAGGAACAAAAGTTAGCTTCTGTCTGATTAATTTTTTATTTTTGTTTTCAGGATTCAATTATTCTTAAAAATGGTTAGATGATAAAATCAAACTGTTGTGTGTTCCGGCTTCAGTGTGTATTTGGTAGAAACAGACTTTATCAACACTGGAGGACTTATAGAGCACCCCAGACCGGCTCCAGGAGTCCGGTTCAGTTTCAGGAACAAGCCTACAAGCTGAGCTGCAGCCGAGCTCACAGCTGGAGCAGCTGGAGCTTAGATCATTAGTTTGTTCAGCAGGCAGGTTCCTAGGCCTGCGTCAGGAGGTGTAGCAGCAGTGAGCCGGTGTGTGTGTGTGTGTGGGGGGGGGGGGGGGGGGGGGGGTGCACATCAAAAACCTCGACATCTCATTTGTGTGTTTTCTTTAGCCACACTCCAAAAATTAGGCTGCCTCAGCAGGAGAGCTACTTACAAATACACACACACACACACACACACACACACACACACACACACACACACACACACACACACACACACGCACACACAACTCTATATATTTGTTAACTTGCTTTATTGTTGCTCAACAACCAAACTAAAATAACAATTTGTAAAAATAAAAATAAACAGATTTTTATCCTGACAGTGAATCTGTTTGCTAAACATATGAAAAATAAATGAATGAAAAAGCAGTGAATAAGTCTGACTCTTCTGGGTTCACCTGAAGTTTGTATTTATTTTCTTTTTTTGTTAATTGTAATAACAAAATACCAAATGCCAATATACATCCTCCCTTGTTGTTTTAATGTTTTCATTGACGTTTATAAAACAGGCGGAACCTTGTTTTCGTTCTGCTTTGTTGTGCCCGGACAGTACTCGCTCTGGGACCGTATCCGTTGACATTGCTGGGACAGGTGTTACCGAACCTGAAGGTTTTACCACCGGTAGCCGCGGTGAAGAGTTCCTCCGTGGTTCTGACAGCGGGACCCGGAGCAGCCATGTACCGGTGGCCGCTGCAGGTCGTCGCCCGGAGGCTCATTAAAGCGACGGGAAGCGGCACCGCAGTCGCTAAGGTAGCTGCTAACAGTTAGCATGGCTGGCTAGCATGTTTCTGTAAAAATTACAGCTCAGAGTCCCAAATTGACCGGTTTACAGGGTTAGTCACCCTAGAGGCTGTCAGCTGATTGGTTTAAAACTCATCTTTGGCTAATTGTTAATTTTACCTGCTGTAAAGTTATTGTTAATAACCACGATGCTCGTGGTTTTAATTATTAAATATATTTATTATAATTTACTTTAGTATAATGAATGCCTGGCTGTCTTTTTTGTGATCAAGTAAAAGCAAAAAATCAAAGGCATTCTTAAAATACGATCAAACGTAAACTAATTAGTTTTAATTTCTGATCAGAAATCCACTGTTTCATTTTTTATTCATATTAATTCTCTTTTATTAAGCATCAGCTGAAAATGTAGGTTTAGTAGAAACTCCACATTCATAACAGCTGACTTTGGCTGTTATCCTGTTTAACAGCATCATTCCACTCTGATTCCAGGTGGTGAATCAGGAAATTTGTCCCAGCGCTTTTGCAGCCTGTCAGCTGACTGGATTCAGCTGTTCCGCACAATATCGGACTCTGCACTTCAGCACACAGGTAACAACATGCAGCCAGACCATGCGCACATCATAAATATTCCCTGGATCTATCAGAATTCCTGGGAGGTAGTGTGTGAAATTCAGGATGTGTGCATTCTTGGGTTGGGAATGGAAAACCTTTGTTTCAGTTCCTAGTAGTGATGCACTGATATGAAATTTTTGGGCCGATATCCGATGTTAAGATCACTGTTATGGCCGATACCGATATACCGGCATTAGCACTTCTAAAATCAGCAATTTTGTATGAAATGAAAATTATTAAAGCTGAATATACATTATTACATTTACACTTCTGAGGTGATTACATTCACTGTCACATGACTAAATAATTACACATCACCCCCCTCACCCTCTGAAACAGGCAAACAAATGGAAACAAGATGGAAAAAGTATTGGTGGTTATTAATATCGGCCTGGTTTTATTTATTGGACCGATACCGATATTGAGGCCGTAATATTGTCCATCCCTTATTACTAGGAATCATTCGCCACTTTTGCCTTATCAATACCACTACTCAGCTGTTTTAGACTGTTCCTGGAAAAAGGCTTAAGTGGCTCCAACGTTTGGTTTTACTTTACAAGAGAGGATGACGGCAGGGTAACTAAATAGCAAAGTAGATAGTTCATCAAGGGAGGAAGCGTTACGAATAAACCAAAGCCTTTGGACACAAAATACACGATAACTTAGAGTTAATGACGTGTGTAGACCCGCTCTGGACTAGAGAACATCACCGCAGCAGCAGCGGTCACACATCCTCTCCTGGTAATACTGCAGGTAACTAATCAGCTAACACCGCCTAGCATGCTAGCGTCATTAGCCTTATATACACACCTCCACACTAGCAGACTCCAGGGATACAGGTCTGGCCTATGGTGAGATTATTCCCTCTCTACTAAAGCTACAGCAACACCGCACCAGAAGATGACTCTGCCTTCAGGGAGCAGAAAGGAGAACATTTGGAAAGATCTTTCCACCGATGCAGGTACAGCTGGTTATTCAGGGGGTCTTTTGTTCCCTCTTCGGGGGGAAACTCCCACTGGGTTTAAATCTGGGACTCTCCACCATTTGACCTTAGAACTGAAGAAGCCTCTCGGATGAGAGGTGAAACGTCTTCAAGCAACCCAAAGAAGTCCAGACGCTTTTCTTTCAAAGCTCATTAAAACCTGGTGCAGCCCTGTGTTAGTGGAGTCATGTTTCTATACAATGTGATTATAAACACGTTGAAGTAGTGCTGCGCTTACTCTAGTGTTATATTTTCTGCAGCAATGAAACGTCTGAGCTCCGTTTGTTTCCTTTGAGGTTGTAGGAATCTACGTTATTGATTGTATTTCTGAAAATACCGAGCACTAGCCTCCTTCACAGGTTTATTTCTGTAAGGATGTGTTTATCCTTGTTCTTTTTATCCATCCTTGTGAATTTTCTTCTGCTTCAACTCCAGCTGCAGCTCCCCCAGCAACGCGAGTCATACACCTAAAGTGGCGCTAAGGGGGTGTGGTTGACATGCAGGTCACGTGTCTGACAAATACTGATTAACTTGCTTTTATTTTTTCATTCTTCCAACAACACATGGTCCAGAAGTAGATGGGCGGGACTTGGGCTGTCCAAATAGGGTGGCTGATTACTCTGAAAGGGGGAACACGCTATTGCTAGCATGGATCAGTGCTTAGTGATGGTTCAAAGACGAGGAAACGGTCAGACTTTTGATCTGGATGGGCCGATATTTAGGTACAGCTTGTTTAAAATGGCCTATTATGTTTGATATAGCGCCTCCTAGACCCCCCCCCCCCCCCCCCCCCCCCCCCCCCCCCGTGGACTCAGCAGCAGAGCCGGGATTGAACCTACAACCCTCTGATTACAAGTCGCTCTGCCTCCTGAGCTGCTGCTGCCCCATTTAAATATCAACAACCTGAAGGAATCGTGTCACATGACCTAGTTCCGACCCACACGGATTATTTGTGGGGAAAAGAAATTAGACTTTTTTTGGTCGCATATAAAAGGAAACTCTTCATCTGTGTTTTAGTTCTGCAGTGTGAAAGAGACGCCTCAGCACTCGCAGGAGGAAGTCGGAGCTTTCACCAAACTCATCGAGGCTATGGGCTTCACAGCGCCACTCAGATACAACAGATGGGTGAGTGGTGGGTGGGGTGGGGCTCCTGGAAGGGCTGGATAAGGAAAACTATTCGTTTTGTTCCCTCTGAAGGTTTTTGTTGAACTAAATGTTCCCTCTCGCTTCCAGCTGCAACACTTTCACATGAATTCCGTAGGTTAGGCGTTAGATTCTGCTTTGTAAGGCCATACCGTCACCACGGTAACGACCAACATCTAACTAAAGCCGGGCGTACACTGTGCGACTTTTTCACTCGCAGCACTCAGCTTCAGCTCAAACTGTACGACTTCCTTGCAGGGCAGATCTCACGAGTCATGCGCTCACACTGTACGACCCAGTTCTCGGATGCGACCTGACTGCTCACACTGTACGTCTGCTAGCAACACGTCGGACCTAAAAATATACTAAAAATAGCAGTTTTTACTCAACACGTCAGACTTTTTTGTGTTGTCTTGTAGGGCTGCTCAATTAATCGAATTTTAATCACGATTACGATCTGAGTTTTGAACGATTATAAAAAACAAAACAAGCCGATTATTTGCTCCTCCCGCCTGCGCTGCGCCGAGTTGCAAATGAAGCGCTCCTCCCACAGTGTTGCCAACTTTGTGACTTTGACGCTATTTCTAGCTTCTTTTCAGACCCCCTTCTTGACTTTTTAACTTAAAAGTACCTAGCGAACATCTCAGAAACATCTCTGGTGACCCTTAGCTACTTTCTGGATAACTATCGTCGACATTTCCTGCAGGTTAGCTAAACACTCCGCCTGCTCTCCGGACCGTTCTTCAGGACATTAGGAAAGGGAATGATGCAGTGATGTGTCGGTCGCTAAAGACAACTCTCGGAGCCGGCTCCTTGTTGGATTAACCAGAGTGAGTGACACACACACCGCACCTGCGGACTCCTGAGCCACTAAAACGGCTAAATGTGCGGCGTGCTAAACACACGAGCAGCTTGCCCGATTGCTGTGAGACCGGGTTGGGGGTGGGGGTGCAGCTGTGGTTGGGACAATTATTACATTAATTGATGGACTTGTAAATACATAGTTTATAAAAAGGTAGAAATAAGTTCCTCACGCTGATAAATAATAACTAATCTCTCTGAGGACACGGTGCTAGTGCACGCTCCAGCAGCACCTTGACACGACTAAATACGTATTACGCAACATTTTGTGAACATCAATTTATTTGCATGTATTTGTTATAAATGCCACTGTATAATTCTTGCTGTCAGTATTTGCCAGATATTGGTATTTGGGTCTGTACTGGTTAGACTTAAATGAGTTAAACCAAGGTCTACAGCCCTTGGGTCATAAACTATGAGCTATAAGTATATTGGTCTTTTTATCCTGGGAATCAGGAGTTATTTTAGTGATCATCTTGTTTCTTATTTTTGTCCTGATTGTGCCCTGAGCAGTTTTATGACTGAATAAAAACAAATAAAATCAACATAAATTGAAAAATCGTCCTAAATAATCGTGATCTCAATTTCAGTCACCATAATCGTGATTATTATTTTTGCCATAATCGAGCAGCCCTATTGTCTTGCCTGTTGTCCTTCGGGAGTGCTGCAGGAGGACTCACTGGGATTTATGGGGGTTGGATGAGGAAAACGAAATAAAGTAAATCTGTGTTTTGTGATCAGTTTAATTTGACATGAACACGACAAACACGCTTTCTTGACAATCTTTGTGAGTAAAAAAACGTGTAGAAATAAAAACGAACAACGTGTGTTATTAGAGAAATAGCGGGCGAGCGGTGTTGATGCATGATTGTGCATGTGCCGTGAGCGGTCCTGGTACTATTTGGGTTGCAGCTGCTCGCAGCGCCGCTTCAACAGTGCGATACCCTCACAAGGAACGAGCAAAATATTAAACACGCCAGAAGTCCGTGCGAGCTCACGATTGCTGATCGGTAGCTGGTCACGTGGTGTTAATTGCCTCTCGTAGCCCCCTGTACACTACACGACCGCTCAGCGCAAAACTCGCCCCGATCTCGTGGATTCTCGCACGAGTGGCAAATCGGCTCAAAACAGTGAAAAAGTTGCACAGTGTACGCCCGGCTTAACCAGAGTTCACCAGGCTGCAGCAGTACTCATGAGGACTGTGGCTCTGACCCAAGCTGCAGCTCGGTTTACTACCCATCTTGTTTTTGTATGACAGAAAATCAAGATTGCAGGGCTGCGCATGTACACCTGCTGTGTGGAGAGGATCAACTATGACGAGTTCTTTGACAGTAAGTTCCCCGCTGTAATGAATCTCCCACAATGCACCTCAGCTGTAGAAACCAGTCGTTAAGTCGGTTATGAAAAACATCAAGTCCTCATTTCAGAGCTGAAGGAGAGTGTGGGACGCTAAGGAAATGTTTATAGCTGGTTTCTGATTATGATGGGTCACTGAGTTTTTCATACAGACCAAACATGAAAACACTCTCCTCACTGAAGGGTCTCATGTGCCCGCCTGCTTCAGGATCTCCACCATAGTTCCTGTCCCCAAGAAGCCAAGGATCAGTGGACTTGATGACTACAGACCTGTGTCTCTGACATCTGTAGTCATTAAGTCACCTGGTTCTCCCCCACCTGTAGACCCTCACAGCCCCCTCCCGGACCCCCTGCTGTGTGCCTACAGAGCCAACAGGTCTGTAGATGATGCCATCAACGTGGCTCCACACTTCATCCTGCAGCATCTGGACTACCCGGGTATCTACGCCAGGATCCTGTTGGTGGACTCCAGCTCTACCTTCAACACAAACTGTCCCAGATGAACACGCCTGACCCATCTGCAGGTGAATCACTGACTTCCTGACAGACAGGAAGCAGCAGGTCAGGCTGGGGAAGAATGTCTCGGACCTGTAGACCATCGGCACCAGTTCTCCTCAGGGCTGTGTCCTCGCCCCTCTGATCTTCTCCCTGTACACCAACAGCTGCACCTCCAACCACGAGTCTGTCAAGCTTATTAAGTTTGCAGACGACACCACCGTCATCAGACTCGTCTCTGACGGGGATTAGTCTGCCTACAGAAGGAGGTGGAACGTCTGGTGTCCTGGTGCAGCCACAACAACCTGGTGCTAAACACCCAGAAGACAGCAGAGGTTGTCGTGGGTTTTAGGAAACACCATCGACATATATACTGGACATTTAATGTCCAAGGGTTCCAATTATATGGTTTTGCTCCCAAATGGGAGGTTCCCACCACCGCCATTTTGACCATTTCACACGTCTCGTCACGCCCAGACAAGTCAAAATGGGAAAAGAGGTGGATCTGTTACAGCTGGAACAAATAAACCAGTGTAGCTACTAGCTAACTTAGCTAACTCAAGAAGCTGAGATGGGTTCCGGGGACTGGGGTATCCCTTCCACACGGCCGACTGGCTCCTGTGTGAGGCTGTAGTCATGCTGGTCGCCTGTGGAGATCTGATATGGACTGGGACTGTTAAATTACAAGCAGAGCCTCGGACCACTGTGGTCGTAGCCGGGCGCCGTGGCTTTTTACATCAGCTCATGCTCCACAGTCAGAGATCAGCAGGACATTAGCTACATGCCAACCTGAAGCTAACTGAGTTTTTCTGGGCGTTTTCAGCAAGAAAAACGCGGTAGAGCTACTCCAAAGTGGAGGCACCCACCGGCCTGCTTGGTAATGAAATCATAACTAGGCAAGCTTAGCGAGGATATCGGGCTCTGCTGGTCCACCGCGGTCAAAGATCTGCAATCCCGCTGCTGTCCACGGCGAAGGACCAAGTTATTATGGTACACGCGGCCTGAGGACTAGCAGCATGCTGCTGTGGTGTCTGATGGGTCTGACTGTCTGTGTTTGTCTCCAGAATGCTCGCTCCCAGACACTCTGAACTCCTGGTTCCTGATTGCACAGCTTCACGTTTGGTAAGTCGCACAAACCGATCCGAACCACACCTGTTTGATGTTTTACTCCAGCTCATCCCTTGAGTTAGGAGCATTCTGTCTGTGTTGTGGTTTGGATTAAAACCATCTGAACTAGAATCATTTACAGAGAATGGAACCTGAAATTTCAGGACTTTGATTCCTCGTGTTTATGAAATGAAACCAAAAACCCCAAAGAAACCAGGACTTTGTGTGGTTATTTGGGTCTCAATGTTTGTTGTTCTGGTTCTGTTAGGATGTGTTTGGTCCGAATGCGTCAGGAGGGCAGAGAGGGGAAGTTCATGTGTCATTACATCGTCCACTCCATGTGGGAGGACGTCGACCAGAGGAGTAAAATCATGGGGGTGAGTCCTAAACCCACAGAACCGTCTGCTGCACCTGTTTACTGGTTCTGACCCGTTTTGGTCCAGTCTTCTCCAGGGGTGGAACCTGAACCCCTAGCCTAAAGCAGACCTTCATATTTAATAGTCATCAGCTTGGCCAGCCTCCACATGTTTCTTCTTTTCAACAAAAATGACCAAAAATAAAGATTTTGTTTGAAAATCCTGGCAGCAAACATTTGACGAGTCGCTGCCGGAGCGAGCCGATTAAAGCGTGAACTCTGTAACGGGTCAGAGCGGCGACCAGCAGCCGGTTTGATGTTTGACAACAGCTGAGTTGTGTTACAGCTCCTGATAGGCCCTGTGGCACCGACCTGAGCAGCAGAACCTCGTTTTCTCAAATAAAGATCCGTTATTTTAGCAACGGCCCTGAAGTTTAAACCGGGCCTCTGCAGAAGGACATGGGGTCTGTTTGTTCAGACTTTTACGTCAGAATCAGCAGGAAGTGCAGCCAGATCCCCAGAGAGGGGGGCAGACTGCGGTCGCCGTGGTTACAGAGTCAGTCTTATTCTCCGTCAGTGGAGCAGCTCCAGGAAACGCTGGAGTCTGGCGTCGGCTCCCAGAAACACCCTGGTCATGAACGGCAGGACGTGTGTTGCAGGAGGAGAAGAAAAGCTGCTTCATAACAATTATGTAGAAGTCAGGAGGATCGAATATAAATGAAGGTTACAAAAGTACAACACGGGAGTCTGAGATGCGATAAGTGTTTCTGTGTTAGTGTGTAGCATCAGTATTAGATACCGGTAACGATGTTCAAGGGGAGGAGGAGCCCGCCCCCATAGCAGGGGTCTTCTACCTGATATCTGACCAATCTTGTAAACGTGGGCTGCATTCCATTCTGCTTTCAGCTTTAATTAAACCTTTAATAGTTTTGTTTTCCTGCTGCATGAAACCAACCTGAATAAACCAAGAGTTCTGTTTTAAGCAGCAGCAGCAGAACCCGACAGCTCTGTCCTGCTCAGATCCGGGTTTTCCGCCGCTCCTACACCTGCATGTTTGTGTTTGAGCTACAGTATTTATACAAGCAGCAGCAGTGATTGGACTCACTCTTAGGTTTCATTTTAATTGTGATGAAGAGCAGGAAAACCCAAAAGCAAACAAACTGAACGTTCGCTTTGATTCACGCGCTGATTTCTACAAACCCGCCTTTGTCCCGCATTACCGGCTCGGCTCTTTGGTGGATTAGAGATCAGTCGGCCTTTACTCCGGCTGAAAAATAACCAGCCAAGGAGAAACATGTTTGTTCTCGAGCAAACGTCTTCCACTTCAGGATCCGTGACCTCTGCTCAACCCACCAGACAAAATTAATCGTCTGGCTTGTTTCTGCATCAGAAATATTATTACAGACTTGTACGCATTTTGTGTAACAAGTACACTATTTGGCATCCAAGTAAGCTGGTACGACAAACCCCTCTAAACTACGCAAAAAGCTGCAGACACGTGAGTTCTGTACCAAATGTGCATGACTCAGCAGCGTGGTGAAGAAGTTTAAGCCAATTATCGTAGAAAAGCGGAGAAAAACAATTCTTCCTAACCTATAGGGTGTCTAAGTCACGCCCATCTTCTTCCGGACCATGGGTCCCTGGAAGAACACAAAAATGAATGCAAATCAATAAAAACACTATTTTGTAATTCTGCTTGTTATGAGTCATGGATTTCACATATGATGTCCGTGCATTTAAAGAACATTTAAGAACGCGCTTATTTTCAAACGGGGGAAATGTTACTTTAGGTTTTGTGTGAAAATAAGTCCAGGACTACAAATGCGCTTTACAAAAGTGACATCATCAAACCAGACACAGAGGAGAGCAGAGATAGAAGAGCACCTTAGATCTAAATCACCTTAGATCTGGTCCACCTTAGATCTAATCCACTTTAGGATTATAAATTTCTTCATCAAGTTGATGCAGAGATAGCTTGATCTTGTTTTATTGTTGTTGTGTCCCATTTGTTTTTCATTTTGTTCATTATTGTTTATTTTTGTCTGGTCCACCTTAGATCTGGTCCAGCTAAGATCTGGTCCACCTTAGCTCTGGTCTGGCTAAGCTCTGGTCCACCTTAGATCTGGTCCGGCTAAGATCTGGTCCACCTTAGATCTGGTCCATCTGGTCCACCTTAGATCTAAACCACCTTAGATCTAAACCACCTTAGATCTAATCCGCCTTAGATCTAATCCGCCTTAGATCTAATCCGCCTTAGATCTGGTCCACCTTAGATCTAAACCACCTTAGATCTAAACCACCTTAGATCTGGTCCACCTTTGATCTAATACACCTTAGATCTGGTCCACTTTAGATCTAATTCGCCTTAGATCTGGTCCACCTTAGATCTGGTCCACCTTAGATCTAAACCACCTTAGATCTAATCCGCCTTAGATCTAATCCGCCTTAGATCTGGTCCACCTTAGATCTAAACCACCTTAGATCTGGTCCACCTTTGATCTAATACACCTTAGATCTGGTCCATCTTAGATCTAATCCACCTTAGATCTGGTCCACCTTTGATCTAATACACCTTAGATCTGGTCCATCTTAGATCTAATCCACCTTAGGTCTGGTCCACCTTAGATCTGGTCCACCTTAGAACTAATCCACCTTAGATCTGGTCCACCTTTGATCTAATACACCTTAGATCTGGTCCACCATAGGTCTGGTCTGCCTTAGATCTGGTCCACTTTAGATCTAATCCACCTTAGATCTGGTCCAACTTTGATCTAATCCACCTTAGATCTGGTCCACCTTTGATCTAATCCACCTTAGATCTGGTCCATCTTAGATCTAATCCACCTTAGATCTGGTCCATCTTAGATCTAATCCACCTTAGATCTGGTCCATCTTAGATCTAATCCACCTTAGGTCTGGTCCACCTTAGATCTGGTCCACCTTAGATCTAATACACCTTAGATCTGGTCCACCTTAGATCTGGTCCACCTTAGATCTGGTCCACCATAGATCTGGTCCACCATAGGTCTGGTCTGCCTTAGATCTGGTCCACTTTAGATCTGGTCCACCTTAGATCTGGTCCGCCTTAGATCTAATCCACGTTATATCTCCACCTTAGAACTAATCCACCTTAGGTCTGGTCCACCTTAGATCTGGTCAAGCTCAAAACTACAACACTAAACTCTTCAAACCTGGACTAGATTATTGTACAGTAACAGTAAAGTCCATAAAAGACTGATGGTAAATGTGAAACCTTTGGTAGATTAGTGAACGTCTCTCTTCTGTCCTGTACTGTGAGTTTGGATTAACATGTTAAAAACATGTTTTTCAGTCCTACAGGTTAATAAACAGTAGGCTACGTTCGGTCACCCCTGAAATAAAGCATTTTATAATTAGAGAAGATTAAAGGTGCAGGAAGTGGAAAAATTAGCTGGAATTAAACTTTTCACATTAGAAACTAGAAAGGGAACCAACTCAGCTTTGTACAAAACAAACAACAACAAATGTATAAAAGACAACAAGAAGAAAGAATAAATAAAATATTTTGGCAAATTTTGAGAAAAAAAATCAAATTTAAAAATGGCGGCCATGCTTGTGACCCTCTAAACTACCTCACCTTGCATTTAGCTTATTCTGCAGTTATGATGAGGACGTCAGCCACCAGGGAGCTGCAAGTAATGTATAAATTAGCCCCGGTGGTGTGTGCACATGTGCTTTAGGCCAGTTTAATATTACATTCTTGAAAACACAACCACCTGTTGCATAATACAATCATAAAATACTTTTTATTATTTTGATTAAGTATTGAAATAATTCTATGCAAATAACTTGTAAACGCACATGTAGCATCATGAAGGTCCTCTAATTTGTGACAAAGGTCACATTTTCCCAGCTGGGTCAGACCGTAACTTTTAGTTCCACAGATTAACCCAGGAGCTATGATGTCTAAAGAATATCATCCTTTATCTGCTGTTGTTCCGTCCCAGAAGAAGGACACTTCAAGTTCACGACAATAATCTAAATGATAATATTAATAAACTCTTTGACTTTATTACTGTTTATTATAATCATCATAAATAATCACTTGGTTCAGTATGAATGTATTTTAATTACTGAAATGAATTATTATGCTTTGGGTATAATTATGATTATGGTTGATGATCAGTAATGTGTGTTCAGCAAACCAGAAGGTCAAATTCCACTTATCCATCTAACACAGAACTGATGCAGAGTAAGGGTAACTGCCATCACGTGTCTTGACTCATGACCAAAGTTTTCTTGCTCTGAGAGTGGGCGTGTTCTGAGGACTTTGTTAAACTAACTTCCAGCAGCTTTCACTCCAGTTTGTGAACCAACCTCTGAGGATAAGGGAACGGCCGTCCTGAAGCCTCCACCTGCTGTTCTGTCACGCCGATAAGAATAGCTACGAATAAACGTAACTGTAGTCAGCTGACTCAAAAACTCCTTCAGAGTTATAGACTTGAGACGCAAATAGTTCCACCAGTCGAGTGACCCAAGGAGACATCTCAGGACCGATTTGGTCGTGCCAGAGGTTTTTCTACCAACCTCGTGCCTGGAGGAAACCATCTCCACCTGACACTTCGGATCCTAAAAGGGGGTCTTCTATACTGGGTGAGGTAGACATTCTGACAGATTGTGTTTGATGCTGTTTTCTCTAAGTAAACAACAGTTAGCTGCAAAACCATCACTTCCAACCCAGAACGCGTTCCTCTCTCTGAAAGAAACCTTCTGAGAAATTCATTCACGCATCCAAACTCGTATGTCCCATTTAGCTTTCATCCAGCCACAGGTTTGCCTTTTAAAACAAGTTTAATATCAAAGCTGTTAAAAATTGTCATTTTTTATTGTCATTTAAATTGTGGTTCCAAATTGTCAAGTTAAAAATTGTTAGTAATAAATTCTTCATTTTTAAACTTGCCTCATTCTTTGAATTGAAACACAGAAAGGTATAAATATTTCTGGTTATTGAAAAAGCAAAGATTCCTAACTTCTGATTCAGAAATAAACTTTTGCTATTAAATTTAATTATCTTAAATTAAACATTAATCTTTGGATTAAAAGTAGACCAAGTAGGTTGGTGTATGAATTTATATCGATTAAATAAGTATCCTGGATACATGATATAAGCTTCATGTGCTAATTTGCCTGGTCATTCTCAGAATCTACAACTGATAGCAAACAGTGTTGATTCTAGTATGTAGATAACCCTACACACACATGTTGTATAAGGGAAGCTACTGCAACTTTTGAGTTTTACTCTTTAATATTAAAATACATGATACTTGAGACTATTCATGAAGATGTTTCCAGCCGGTGAATGTGGACATTACTGCATAGAAAGCAACAGAGTTGCACAAGTGTGCAAAAAACCGCCCCGCATGTGGTACTCAAAAAACTGTTGACAAGTTTGGCAGGTCTGTTATTATTAGTTTATCCACACATGGCCCCAACTGGACGTTTGTAACGCCCTGTAATATCTCCTCCTACAGCACCCAATCAGGTGGACTAATAACAAACTGGTTTTCTATGCATTCCTTGTCTCCCCTCTGTGCTTGGTCCAGATTCCCCCAGTCACCCAATCAGGTGTGTGTCGGTCTCAGCTGATCTTCTCTCTCTCTCTCCTGGTGTTTGTGTTGCAGATCGATGCCGTTCAGAGGAAGGAAGCCATGAAAGCCATGACGGAGACGTTCTATGGTGCCATATTTGGATATGACGAGGTCAGTGCTCCAGTAGATCAGATGGTTTCATGGTGCTGCTGCTCCATGACCCAAGGTTTTCCACCTGTGATGGCTAAAATGGCTCTGTGTAAACATCAGGAGTGTGTGGCCAGAAATGTTTTCTGTGCAAAATATTAGTATTTTTTAAATATTGATAGAATTTCAGAGATGACCCAGCAATGTTTGTACCAGTGAAACTCAACTGGTGGATCGCATGCCACATCTGACTCACCAGACCTTTCCACCTGGCCCCCAACTCTTTGGACCCCAATGCCCCCCTCAATTGAAGAACTTTGAAGTTTAGCAGCAAAATTTGTGTCTCAAATATCAGTAATTGTTTACGTTCTCCAAACACAACTAAAACTAAAATGGAATAGTTTAGATGGAAAACAAAGCCCTTTTTAATATTAATGAATTAAGATCCATTATTACTTGACCTTGCCCCTCCCTGGGCTGCCACCTCACTGTGGTGGAGGGGTTTGAGTGTCCCAATGATCCTAGGAGCTATGTTGTCTGAGCTTTATGCCTCTGGTAGGATCACCCATGGCAAACAGGTCCTAGATGAGGGATCAGACAAAGAGCAGCCTAAAGACCTCTTATGAAGAAAAACATAAATGGAAACTGTGTTCCCTTGCACGGACGTGGGTCACCGGGTCCCCCCTCTGGAGGTGGGGCATGTTGGCGAGAGCCTGGTGGCCAGTCTTTCACCCATGGAGCCCGGCCGGGCACAGCCCAAAGAGGAAACGTGGGTCCCCCTTCCCATGGGCTCACCATTTGTGGGAGGCAAGGCAAGGCAGCTTTATTTATGGAGCACATTTCAAACTCATGCAATTCAACGTGCTCTACAGTTAGCATGAAATGACACAAAAACAAACACGAGAACACTAATTAAAATATACACAGATTCAATTATAATTTAGAGCTAAAAGGAAAAGACCGAATTAAGATTGAGCAATTACATCACAGATTGCAGAGGAGACGATGCAGCATAAGAAACAATTCATGTAAAGGCTGATGAGTACATTAGGGTTTTTAGTTTTGTTTTAAACAACACTAGGGTTGGGACACATCTGAGGTCATGGGGAAGCTGATTCCATATGTGTGCAGCATAGTAACTAAATGCATCTCCACCATGTTTTGTTCTGACCCGAGGTTCTACCAGCTGATTGTTTCCAAGGGATCTCAGAGCCATATTGGGTGTATATACAGGAATGAGATCGGACATGTATTCTGGTCCCATGCCATTGAGTGATTCATAAACTAGTGGGAGCACTTTGAAATCTATTCTGTGGTTTACTGGTAACCAGTGTAGGGATCTAAGAACAGGAGTGATGTGCCCCGTTCTCTTAGTTCTTGTTAAGACTCTAACAGCAGCATTCTGAACAAGCTGCAGTTGTTTCACAGCTTTTTTTTGGAAGACCGGTTAGGAGACCATTGCAATAGTCCAGACGACTAGAAATAAAAGCATGAATAAGTTTCTCTTAGTCTGGTCTGGACATGAGACCTCTGACTCTTGATGTTAGATGATGGTGATAAAACGCTGATTTAGGTATAGCCTTAATATGTCCAGAGAAGCTCAGGTCTGAGTCAATAACACCAAGGATTCTAACCTGGGTCTTTGTCTTTAAGTTCAACTGAGCAATAACATCCAAAGGACAGGGTCATGGAGGGGCCAAAGGGGTCGGGTGCAGTGTGTGTGATGGGTGGTAACCAAAGGCGGGGCCCTTGGTGGTCTAATCCTCGGCTACAGAAGCTGACTCTTGGCACATGGAATGTCACCTCTCTGGTGGGGAAGGAGCCAGAGTTGGTGTGTGAGGTTGAGAGGTTATGTCTAGATATAGTCGGACACACCTCAACGTATGGCGCTGGCTCCAGAACCAATTCCCTTGAGAGGGGTTGGACACTCTACCACTCTGGAGTTGCTCCCACTGAGAGGCACCAAGCAGGGGTGGATATATTTGTTGCCCCTCATCTTGGTGCCTGTACATTCGGGTTTACCGTGGGCAACCGTGAATCCTGGAGAGGTGTGATTGGGAGGAACGGCCCCCTGATCTGAATTTGAGCTGTCAACTGACCACTACCTGGTGGTGAATTGGCTTCGATGGTGGGGAAGGATGCTGGTAAGAGCTGCCAGGCCCAAATGTGTTCTGATGGTCTGCTAGGAATGTCTGACAGAGTCTCCTATCAGGATCCAATTCCCACTTCCAACAGAACTTCCAAAATGTTCCGGGGAGGCGGGAGACATTGAGTCACTGGACCATCTCTATACCCTTAGGGGATCCTGCAGGCTGCCTGGGAGTTCGCTCAACCAATTTACATGTGTTTGGTGGATTTGGAGAAGGCGTTCGACCGCGTCCCTCGGGGGGCCCTGTGGGGCTTACTCTGGGAGTATGGGGTACCAGGCCCTCTGATAGGAGCTGTTAGGTCCCTGTATGACCAGTGTCAAAGCTTGGTCCATATTGCCGGCAGTAAGTCGGGCTCATTCCCGGTGAGAGTTGGACTCCACCAAGGCTCCCTTTGCCACCGATTCTGTTCATAACTTTTATGGACAGGATTTCTAGGAGCAGCCATGGTGTTGATGAATCTGTTTTGGTGGCCTGAGGATCAGGCCTCTGCTTTTTGCAGATAATGTGGTCCTGGTGGCTTCATCAGAACCTGACCTCTGGCTTTCGCTGGAGCAGTTCACAGCCAAGTGTAAAGCAACTGAGTTGAGAATCAGCTCTAAATCTGGAACCATGGTCTTGATTCTGAAAAGGGTAGAATGCCTTCTCCAGGTCAGGAACGAGGTCCTGCCCCAAGTGGAGAAGTTTAAGTATCTCGGGGTCTTGTTCACGAGTGAGGGAAAGCTGGAGCGTGAGATCGATAGGAGGATTGGTGCTGCATCTGCAGTGATGCGGGCGTTGTACCGGTCTGTCGTGGTGAAGAGAGAGCTGAGTCAGAAGGCAAAGCTCTCGATTTACCGGTCGATCTACGTTCCTACCCTCACCTATGGTCACGAGCTTTGTGTAGTGACTGAAAGAACGAGATCGGCGGAAATTAGTTTTCTCTGCAGGGTGGCTGGGCTCTCCCTTAGAGATAGGGTGAGAAGCTCGGTCATCCGGGAGGGGCTCGGAGTAGATTTGCTGCTGCTGCTCCACGTTGAGAGGAGCCAGTTGAGGTGGCTCGGGCTTCTGGTCAGGATGCCTCCTGGAGACCTCCCTGGTAAGGTTTTCCGGGCACGTCCAATTGGGAGGAGACCTAAAGGTAGACGCAGGACACCCTGGAGGAACTATGGCCCTGTCCACACGTAGCCGGGGATCTGCCAAAACGTAGATATTTTTCTACGTTTTGGCCTGTCATCCACACGAAAACTGAGTTTTTTCACACGAAAACGGATCTTTTTAAAAACTCCGGCCAAAGTGAAGATCTGCGTTTTCTCCATTTTGGGTGTCTGCGTGTGGACGGACAAAACCGGAGTTTTAAGGTCCGCAACGTCACTTTCCGCGACAAAAAAAATGCTGACGTCACGTGTGCGACCTGTGTTTACACTAGCCGACATCATGGAAGCCCTCAGAGCTGCGCTCTGTCACTACCCGATCCATCAATTGTCCAAGCGCTTTCTGCTTGTTTGTTTTTGCAAGCGGAATTACTGCTCCTTACGGAAGACCACAGACGAAGGACGAGGTTAAGAACGGGGGAAGTACTGCCGCCTACAGGTCTGGCATGTCCTTAACAACGCATTTATCCGGGTACGTGTGGACATAGTTTTTTTTTTTTAAACGCGGTGGTGTGGATGCAAGTTTTTGGAGGGGCGGATATTCGTTTTTAAAAAACCCCGGCTACGTGTGGACTAGGTCTATGTCTCTCACCTGGCCAGGGAACGCCTTGGGATTCCCCCGGAAGAGCTGGCCCAAGTGGCTGGGGAGATGGAAGTCTGGGCCTCATGACCTGACCCCAGATAAGCGGAAGAAAATGAATCAATGGATGGATAGATAATACTTGTCATTTAGAAGAGAATCTGGCCCTCACGGTGTCTGCTGGGAAAAACTCCGGCCCTTGAACAAATTTAGTTGAAGACCCCTGCTTTATACCGACGTAAATGTACAAGCAGCCACTAAATCAGTCAAGTTGTTTTCTCTCTGGGTTAATGTGCTGCCCTAATCTCAGCATTTGGCTTAGGGGTTTTTCATTTTTGGGGGGTGTTCGTTAGTGTTTCAGCGAGCAGCCAAACCCCTCCCCCATAACCAGGCCTGCAGAAACGTGTCTTTCCCTACTGGCTGATATGAGGGAATGCTGTGAGATTACAGTCATGTTTCCCTTCCCGTGCTGCATGTTCTGCCTAGTGGACTTATGTGCATCATTTACTGAGCTTTGGTGAATAATATTCACCCGTACCAAAATGTATGTCTATTGCTGCCTTGTTGGATGCCTGTAGCAACAGGGTCAACACCAGGAAATATGTTGAAGCATTGGGAGAGGCCATAAACCCCACGGCCCACCCATAGGTACCACTTATGGAGTTTAGGTTATTTCACATAGATTATAGAATAAAGTGCACGTGTGACACTTAGTTTGAGTGAGTGAGTGAGTGAGTGAGTGAGTGAGTGAGTGAGTGAGTGAGTGATCTGGATACAACAGGTTTTAATCACAGAAGCAGGCCTGTTTATAGGAGATGAATGAATGAATGTTCTGTTCCTTCAGGGGATCCTGTCTGATGACTGCGTTCTGGCTGCAGCTCTGTGGAGAAACCTGTTCAGCCGTCAGTGTGAAGACCCCCGACAGCTGGAGCTCATGGTGGAATACGTACGAAAACAGGTGGGATCAGGTGTTAACGTGTTAACACGACTTTAATGGATCCGTCTGTTACCTCGATACCAATTTGTGATTCTTGTACAGCTCTGACCTGCAGATACCAATTCATCGTAAACAACCAGAACTAACGACTTCTGGCCCTTTTATTGTTCAGCTACTCATTTTTGTAACTTGTAGGGTTAGGGTGTAGATCTGGGTGTAGCCGACTGTAAACGCCTCCTCCTGCTGCCTGCAGATGCAGTTCATTGACGCTCTGGATGGAGAGGACCTGCTGCTAACAGGAGAGGTGAAATGGCGCCCTCTGCTGGAGGAGAACGCTCAGAGCATCCTGAAGGTGGTCAGCCCAACGTACAACGACACCGGCTTGTGAGCCTTAACTCCTCCTCTTTGTAACACTTTCTGTTCCTGTGGGACTTAAACTGGTCTGTAGCGTTCCTCTGCTCTTTAAGCCATGACACGCGTCAACCTTTGACCTGACCCAGACTCTGGAAATCTCCTCTATTGTCCTGTCAGGTTTCAGAGCAGCTCCACGTTATCACAAACACATGAACTATTTCTATTGTGTCCTGAGTGCTGTTTTGTATTTATAAAATATTTTTAGAATCTCTGTTTACCTTCTACTCTCTTCTGTTGATGCTCTCAGACCTGAACAGTCTGTGAACACTCAAACTCTGTCACTGTCACCAAAAACACATCAGTAAAGTTTTGTGAATAAATCCAGTGGCTTCAGTCTGACTTTTTATAGTTTTTGTTAAATGAACTCATTTTTGGAGGAGCCAGTAGAGGTGGCCTGGACATCAAGTCAGGACGCCTTCTGGTGAGGTTTTCTGGGCACACTTGTCTGAGGCCTAGTCCACACGTAGCCGGGGTTTTTTAAAAATGAATATCCGCCCCTCCAAAAACTTGCATCCACACCACCTCGTTTTAAAAAAAAACTCTGTCCACACGTACCCGGATAAATGCGTTGTTAAGGACACGCCAGACCTGTAGGCGGCAGTACTTCCCCCGTTCTTAACCTCGTCCTTCGTCTGTGGTCTTCCGTAAGGAGCAGTAATTCCGCTTGCAAAAACAAACAAGCAAAAAAGCGCTTGGACAATTGATGGATCGGGTAGTGACAGAGCGCAGCTCTGAGGGCTTCCATGATGCCGGCTAGTGTAAACACAGGTCGCACACGTGATGTCAGCATTTTTTTGTCGTGGAAAGTGAGGTTGCGGACCTTAAAACTCCGGTTTTGTCCGTCCACACGCAGACACCCAAAACGGAGAAAATGCAGATCTTCACTTTGGCCGGAGTTTTTTAAAAGATCCGTTTTCGTGTGAAAAAACTCCGTTTTCGTGTGGATGACAGGCCAAAACCTAGAAAAATATCTACGTTTTGGCAGATCCCCGGCTACGTGTGGACAGGGCCTTAGTGTTTCCCTGTTTCAACACACCTGATTTCAATCAGCAGGTGATTACCAGGCTTCTGGAGAGCCTGATGAGCTCCTGCACAGGTGAATCAACAGAGAAACAACAAAAAGATGCAGGATACCAGGCCCTCGAGGACTGTTTGACACCCCTGTATGTTCTGTTACTGAGTGAAAACAGAAACAGCCAAACTCTGAATAAAACCTTGAGAACTGTGGGCCCAGAAGCACCTTTTTATTTAACCAGGAATGGTCCCATTTAGATTAAAGCCTCTTTTACAAGGGAGTCCTGGCCAAGCGGCAGCAAAACAATGACAAGACTCTGGACTTGGAAGCATATAGTGAAACGAATTCAGTCGTTTTGAAGCTTGTTCCATGTAGCAGGAGCTGACTGAGCAAACAAACGCTTTTCCTCCCAGATTTGTACGCACAAGCAGGACCTCCGGCATTAAATGATCATTAGAGCGCAGACGTAAGATCCAGAACTCCTCCATGTGATTAAATTGCAGATACAGGAGGGCAGTAGACCAAGCATAGCCTTGTAAATAAAAATGTACCAGTGACTTAGCCTCCTGGGTGGGTAAGGAGTGCCACCCTGCTCGAGTGTACAGTTCACAGTGATGGTCAAAGTCCTGCTGTTTGTAATAAACCTCAGAACAGCGTGATGCACAGATCAGTCTTGTGAGGACATTGGACAGAAGCATTCATGTACAACAGGTCTCCGTGGTCCAAAACGGATGAAAACGTTGCTTTCACAAGGTGCTTTTTTCCTTCCAGTGGGAAACTAAATGTATTTGTAAAGAAAAAAACAAATTTAAGTTTAAGTTTGTTCACGAGATTTTCTAAGTGGGGCTTAAAAGTCAAGGAATCACCAACAAAAATACCAAGGCACTTGTAAGTGTGTACTCTATGTTGTTGTCCTCAAGAGTAGATACTACAGGAATAGTTTGAGAGGTCTTCTTAGCGTTAGAAAACAACATTAGTTTGGGTTGGCTTAACCCAGGCAGTGCTTTAAACTCAGCAGGGGTATTCACGTATTTCAGTTCAGATCCACGGTTTGGTTGTACATTTCCAGATACTAATAGGAGTAAAATAATCATCATCGATCTCTGTTTGGTATGACATGTTGAAACAGTTGCAGGTGTTTGAAATGTAGAAGCCAGGCGTCTCATTTAATGAAGTGATGATTAAATATTGTACAAAGCAAGGAAGCACTGAAGTTTAAGTGGATCCCCAGGCTGAGTAGAGTTTACAGCCAAAACCAAATAAAACAGTGATGGTTCAGGCTGCTCTGTCACACTAGGTCTAGTGCCACCATCAGTCCAGGTCTGGTTATTGATAGCTGTACTCACCCAAGGAACATCACTTGGGCCCACATTACAACAGCTCAAAATACATAATAAGGATGTAAAGGATGCCATCGCTTTCATAATTAAAATAACAGCAAAAACAGACGGGTTTTTTGTGGTTAACACAACCTCAGCTGTTTACCAGGCTCTGGCCTGTTAGCCCAGGTTCCCAGATATTTAACTATCACTTTTAAAAACAATAATAATACAAACAATAAAAAGCAAAAAGCAGTAAAAAAAATAATTATAAAAAATTCCAATAAAGAGTTAGTCCAGAGAGAGGTACTGAGCAGTCAGTGATGTGCGGCCATCTTGGATCTTCAGGGATTCCAGGATGTTGGTCCACTGGGAGCAGAACAGAAAGCTGAAGAACCCAAACCATCTTCTGTTTCTGCTCTGGGAACCCCGCCTGGGGCCTGAACTGGGTCACAGTTAGACCTGATTACCACCACAGATTCTGACATCTGGGCCGCACTGAGGCCTCTGCAGATGGAGCGGGTCGGGATAGAACTATTAAATCAGGTTTCGGCAATACTGTTTAAAGTTTTTCTGTGAGTCTGAGTCAAAGGTCACCTAGAGAGTTTGTTCAGCTGTCAAACAGGATCCTGAAAAATGTTAAATGTGAGAAAAAATCTTCTGGTGCTGCTTCTGTTCCAACATGTTTGAACATCCTGTCATGATGAGTTTGATCAGAAACCAAAGCTCTTTCTGCTCGGGGCTGTTGGTCGTTGTTCACGCTGCAGGAACGGTTGGAACCTGTCAGAACCAGTTCACCCCCTCAGCGCCAGAACAGCTGAACTGACTAAAAGGAAGACTACAGCCCAGCCCGAGCGTCTCAGTGAAAACTAATCATAGAGTAATCTGATCAAGACCCCCCAGAGAAGTCGGTTTGAATTCAGCCTTTTTCATTTGAACACTAAAAATTCTTTGATTTTTGCTGATTAGGGTTGAAGATTTGGAGATTAAAATGAAATTTGTTTATTGAAAGTAAGCCTTCAACACCACAGCAGGAATAGGGAGCCTAAGCCATGCCCACCTACTTCCAGACCACGGGTCCCCAGAAGAACGTAAAAATGAATACAAGTCAACGGGGCTAAAAACTAGTTTCTAAATCAACTTGTTTTGTGCCATGGCTTTCACACATGATGTCTGTGAATTTCAAAGAGGCTTTTTGATACCAAGAATGCAGAGAGACACTTTATTTTAGGTTTTGTGTGAAAATAAATCCAGAACTACAAATGCGCTTCACCAGAGTTACGTCATCAAACCAGACACGGAGAAAACTGAGAGAAAATGACTGTAAATGTAGTGAATCCTTTCAGAAGGAAAGAACCACCATAACCCTGGCCATGTGTATTAAGTAGCAGCTACGCTGGGGGGGATTCTCTGGTGACGTGTGTAGTCATGCTAATTACCAACTTTTACAAGCTGTTAAATCTCTAAGTACGTGACTGGTGTGGTCGACACACCCATCATTACTTTTCATTTAAATTGCAGTACAACATATGTGTGATCCAGGGCGTAAGGCAGACAGGGTTAGAAAATAGCTTTTAGCCCCGTTCAGGGGCCCACCGAAAAAGGGAGGAGACTTAGGCTCCCTCCCTCGACAGGTGCACTGAAAAGACCCCCAATGTAAGATGGTGCTTGTCCATGTAAGGCCCTATAGACCAGAACCAGGATCTAGAAATGAACCCTGAGGCTGACTGGCAGCCAGTGAAGCTAGAGGAGAAGCGGGGTGATGTGGGTGTGTTTGGAGGACTTGGTCAGAAGCCGAGCACAGGCATTCTGAACCACCTGTAGACGGTTCAGGGAGGTTCTGCTCAGACACGTGAAAAGAGAGTTACAGTAGTCTAAGCGTGAGGAGATGAAGGTGTGGAGAACTGTCTCAAGTTCAGACCGAGACAGAATGGGACTCAGCTAAGCAATGTTCCTGAGATGGAAGAAGAAAGAGCCAACAAGAGAACTGACATGATAATCCAGGGTGAGAGCTGGGTCAAAGGTCACACCAAGATTCCTGACAGAGGGTTAGGGTTAGATGAGGATCTCAGTCTTATCTTCAGTCAGCTGTAGAACGTTCCCAGCATTCACTTTCCACACTCTACTACTTTCTTCTACCACTCTCTTTTACTCATTCACTGCCATTGACAACTAAAGTCATCAATTGCATATTGTTACGGGGTGGGTGTCGGACAATTAACATCCCAGCTCTAAAGTTGACCTTCACCTGTGTATGTTGCACATCATGTGATCAGGAAGCAGAAAATCCATGTATTAGGAGATCGTTTTGGCCGCTGTTCTGGAAAAAGCGAGGCGCAAACCGGAAAAACTTCTGCAATTCACAATTCGACAATGGATTATGAAAGAACGAATATAGCTAAAATCACAGATTCTTCCTGATGTAGTAAGAGAGTCTACTCTTTCTTTGGTAGTTTTGCCGTTTTTATGATCATAGAGCACAATATTCTGTGACTCTTCTAAAAACAGTAAAAACGCTCAAAAACTCTGGCAGCCAGGGGCTTTCGGATCAGGAAACAGCTGGCAGTATTTATTCTCCAAGTGTTTTTCTCCCCAGAAGAAGCTACAATGATGTTCTGCTGAGCTGTGGTGGCCTCATGGAGGGGGCCATCGGCTAGCACACTGCTGCTAACCACTTAAACATTCTCCCTCTCCTGATAACTTTTTACTCTCTTTGACATTGAATGTGCTACTACTAGTTTACCCGTTTAATTATAGATTCACTAGGATAAATACAATAAATTCCATGAGGCAGGAGAAGATCATGGCAAAGTGGTCTGAGGAATCGTCGACACGGATGTTAAAATCACCAACAACCTCATCATCAGCATCAACAGCGGAGCATAGCAAGTCACTAAACTCCTGAAGGAAAGAACTGTTTGGACCAGGTGGACGATGGACCACCACACAGGAGAACGGGTCTTCAAGCCTGACTTTAATCAGAAAA